TGAGAACAAAAATCCAGCTTGTGCTTCTGAAATGCTCGAAGGTGGGGGAAAACAAAGATATCCAAAAACTTTAAGCGTTTTGTAGTCTGGTTGCTTTCCATACAGCTTCTCAAAAAGGAGAACTTCCTTGTAGCACCTTTGTTGGCAGTTTGTTAATAAGGCTAACAGCAGTAACAATGGCATAAGACCAAAATTTTATGGGCATCAAGGCTTGAGACAAGAGGACAAGTGCCAATTCAACTAGATGTCGATGTCTCCTCTCAACCATACCATTTTGCTTAGACGTATGTGGACATGTCAACCTATAAACAATGTCAGACTTGGCCAAAACATCAGTGAAGGTTCAAAACTCCCCACCCCAGTCACTTTGGACTGTTTTGATAGATAGTTCAAACTGTGTATGCACCATTTTCTGAAACAGCTGAAAAGCTGCAATGGCTTGAGACTTTTGTATGAAGCAAGTAAAGCTATGTATGTCGAGAGAAAACATCAACAAATGATATGTAATACCGAAAACCATTTGAAGAAATATGAGGAGGTCCCCATAAATCAGTGTGAACAAGCTGAAAAGGAGAATTATATTCAGTAGTGGATTGAACAAATGGCAGTTTGTGACTCTTGCCTACATGACAAGCAGAACAAACTTTGTTTATATCAACAAGTTTTGCTATCTTATTCAAAGTGTCAAATGAAGGGTGACCCAATCGCCAATGCCATAATTCATCAACTGGAAAAGACTTCAAATCAATATTGACATCTCCCTTCACTGTTGCACAGTCTTTCTCAAATGAATATAAGCCATATGCTTCTTCACCACTCAACAAGACTTGTTCAGTTGCCTCATCAAGTACATAACATTTCTTGGCATGGAACTCAAGGAAGACACTGTTATCCCTAGCAAGCTTAGAGACCGAGAGAAGGTTTTTGGTTATTTGAGGGACATGTAACAAGTCATTTAGTAATAGCACACGAGAAATATAAGGCATAACAGATTTACCAGCCTTATCAATATCGAGTGATACTCCATTACCTACAGTAAGTTTACCTGGTCCAAGAAATTCATATTGATTCATCATATTAGACGCATTAGGGGTGACATGATGTGTGGCCCCCAAGTCCACCACCCATCGATCAGTAGTTGCAGTAACCACATTTTCTTGTGGCTGCGTATTAGAAGAAACATCTAAACATCCTTTAGAAAAACATTCACAATTTTGATTTCCTTTCCCATAAGTATAACGTGTATTCACTGAGCCTTCTTTAGAAGAACCATAACTGTCAGTTGTTACACATGTGAATTCTTCATCATATCGATGCCAGCATCGGTCAACTAGGTGGCCAAGTTTGCCACAGGGCTGACACTGCAACCTAGTTTGCCACAGGGCTGACACTGCAACCTAGTTCGCCACAGGGCTGACACTGCAACCTAGTTCGCCCACGCCCCCTTCCATTGTTCCTCATACCAAATCCATTAGTTGAACGGTTTGACCTGGAATCTTGACGATTAGGAGCATTGTAAGACTCATGACCCATACTGCCCTGAGCTAGATTTACACTAACAGGCAGCAGATCAGTTTGTTTATCAAATCTGACCAGCTGTGACTCAACATTCATTAGCATCGTGTAAATGCTATCTAGTGACAATGTTTCTTTCATGGTTGTTATAACTGCAATGAATGGCTGGTATTCACATGGCAAACCTTTCAAAATTGAAACAATATGCTCAACATGAGAAATAACACTCCCACAAGAAGCAAATGCATAACATACCTCTTTCACTCGTGTAAGATATGTGTGCATGTTGTCACCGCCTTTCTTCAACGAGTGAAGTTTGTTATGAAGATTCATTAATGTTGTTGTGGACCTGTTTACAAAGAATTGCAACACTATTCTCTAAACCGTCGTAGTCATTTCTGCTCCCACGAACTGAGGAAGAAGATTAGAGCTGATGGTCGATAACATCCAAGAAGCAACAACACTATCTTGTGCAACAAATTCTTCATAGCTTTCATTAATGTGTTCCTCACCATCATCATCTACCACAGTCTCTGGTAGAGGCATCATGGCTCCGATTAAGAGTCGTTCAAGGCGGTGACTCCGAATTGTTAACAAGATATGCTGGTTCCATAATAAGAAATTTGTCTCATCAAGGATAATGTTGACCTTCTTGCTCGAGAAACTCTTCGTACATCCAATTGTAAGATCCATAGTAAGAACAAGACATCAAGAATGGAGCAAGCAGCGGAAAGAAACTTCTCGAATTCACCCAGAACCACCGACGATTGATACCATGTTGAGTTACTGCTTCTTAATAGAATATGAACATATTCATTAATGGAAAATGTGTATCTATCAAAGTTGTACATCTGCAAGCTATTAATACATAGCTTTGCAAACAGTTACTGCTAACAACATACTAACAGCCTATCTAACCACCTTCAATGGTTAACAAACTCCTAACTGCTGCTGACTCAGCTAACTGCTGCTTACTCAGCTTACATGCATACGTTGTATATACCTATAATAGCAATTCATCATTGAACTTTATATTCATTCATTTATTTTATCACCTATTTTACTCTTCCATTTTACTCATTTAATTTTTAATTTTTTTTAATTTACTCACTAGAATTTTAAATTATTTAAATTTATCATGTTTTAGTCACTATAAATTACTTTATTATTATTATTATTTATGATGTAATATTTTATTATTATTATTAAATATAAAAATAATTTCTTAAAATAAAATAATTTAAAATAAATAATAAAATAAAATTTTATTATTATTAAATTTAAAAAAATATATCTATCTGTTCTCGTAACCATCTATCATTGTCGGCTTTCAAAATCCGTAATCGTTTGGTTTTCGGATTTTTCAATTTATAGAGTTCAGAACATGTTCGATAGAATGGAAAACGGTTTTAGACTCAAGAGTCGATACGAAACGACCCATAAAATCTGCTCAAGACGAAACACTTCAGAACATTTCAATCTCTAATTTATGAACTTCAAAACATGTTTGATAGAATGGAAGTCAATTTTTGAACTTCAGAACATGTTCGATAGAATTGAAGTCGATTTTATATTCAAGAGTCGATACAGAAACGAAACTAGCAATTCATCATTGAACTTTATATTCATTCATTTATTTTATCACCTATTTTACTCTTCCATTTTACTCATTTAATTTTTAATTTTTTTTTAATTTACTCACTAGAATTTTAAATTATTTAAATTTATCATGTTTTAGTCACTATAAATTACTTTATTATTATTATTTATGATGTAATATTTTATTATTATTATTAAATATAAAAATAATTTCTTAAAATAAAATAATTTAAAATAAATAATAAAATAAAATTTTATTATTATTAAATTTAAAAAAATATATCTATCTGTTCTCGTAACCATCTATCATTGTCGGCTTTCGAAATCCGTAATCGTTTGGTTTTCGGATTTTTCAATTTATAGAGTTCAGAACATGTTCGATAGAATGGAAAACGGTTTTAGACTCAAGAGTCGATACGAAACGACCCATAAAATCTGCTCAAGACGAAACACTTCAGAACATTTCAATCTCTAATTTATGAACTTCAAAACATGTTTGATAGAATGGAAGTCAATTTTGAACTTCAGAACATGTTCGATAGAATTGAAGTCGATTTTATATTCAAGAGTCGATACAGAAACGAAACTAGCAATTCATCATTGAACTTTATATTCATTCATTTATTTTATCACCTATTTTACTCTTCCATTTTACTCATTTAATTTTTAATTTTTTTTTAATTTACTCACTAGAATTTTAAATTATTTAAATTTATCATGTTTTAGTCACTATAAATTACTTTATTATTATTATTTATGATGTAATATTTTATTATTATTATTAAATATAAAAATAATTTCTTAAAATAAAATAATTTAAAATAAATAATAAAATAAAATTTTATTATTATTAAATTTAAAAAAATATATCTATCTGTTCTCGTAACCATCTATCATTGTCGGCTTTCGAAATCCGTAATCGTTTGGTTTTCGGATTTTTCAATTTATAGAGTTCAGAACATGTTCGATAGAATGGAAAACGGTTTTAGACTCAAGAGTCGATACGAAACGACCCATAAAATCTGCTCAAGACGAAACACTTCAGAACATTTCAATCTCTAATTTATGAACTTCAAAACATGTTCGATAGAATGGAAGTCAATTTTAGAACTTCAGAACATGTTCGATAGAATTGAAGTCGATTTTATATTCAAGAGTCGATACAGAAACGAAACGACCGACTATCATTTACGACCATAAGCGTTTCTAGTTCCATAAAATCTGCTCGAGACGAAATGACTAAACGATTACCATCTACAGACATCAACGTTTCAATTTCCTTATTTTTAATCGGATTTATTCCGAAAAACATCTACAGCCATCAAAGTTTCAATTTCCTTATTTTTAATCGAATTTATTCCGAAAAAATAAAGGTCAAATTCAACCTCAAGGTCAAACTCAAGGGTCGTTTGTCGTGACGAAACGACACATCTACGACAGTCAATAAAATTAAAATTTAAGATCAAGCATTTATGAAGACGGTCGATAAAATTTAAGATCAAACATTTATAACCGTCGACCGTGAAGACGTCAAACAGTGACGACCATTGTCTAGTTTTGATTTTATATTCTAAAGTATTTTAATATAACTTTTATAATTTTAAACCCTTAAATTTTAATATGACTTTAAAAAATTAATATAATTTTTTAAATATAATTTTTCAAGTTCACAAATGACATAAATCATAAACTCATGACATAAATTATAAATTCCTTTGTCCATCCCTGCATAATGCTTTTGTTGTTTAAAAAGTGTTCCAACGTAACTCCATTTAAGACAACTTATTTTTAGTAAATCTCGTGAAACATTTGTTTAGGAGATGCGTTAAAAAAAACAAATTTAATAAACATGTTCTACTTACTGCACCATTTTTATTACTGTCTTGACACTGCGTACAAACATACAAGACAACTCAAGAAGAAAAAAAACAAAAGAAGGAACCACATGCATGGATCCATGATAAACAAATTAAGTAGCTAGATACAGGTACAGAGGTGCAAAACACAGAAACATTGACTAGTAATCTTCAGGGGCCAAGGGCTGGTGCGTTGGGTGCGCAGGCTCGGCAGCCGGGATGATCATGTACTCGTATACCAGACCGGCTAAGCCTCCACCGATCAATGGACCCACCCAGTATATCCAGTGATGGTCCCACCTCCAACCTACCAAAGCCGGACCAAATGCCCTGGCTGGGTTCATGGCTCCTCCATCAAATGGCCCGCCTACTAAGATGTTGGCGGTCACTATTAACCCTATAGCCAGTGGTGCTATCGTCCCCAAGCTTCCTCTTTTGGGATCGATCGCCGTTCCGAAAACTGTGTACACCAATCCAAATGTCAGGATAATCTCTAGTATCATGCAACGCAACTCTCCAACTCCAAACGCCACTGTGAAACCTGCAGGTCTCTGAAACCAAAAGCAACCCAATTATGCATTATCCGATTACATATACATGCATGCATGCATGATCTATATATATATATATACCATTCCGGCGGTGAGGCGGAGCAAGAGACAAGCCACAACAGCACCTAGGAGCTGAGCAACCCAGTAATAAACCGCACGGACCACAGAGATCCTTCCTCCGAGCAAGGCACCGAAGGTGACGGCAGGATTCACATGACCACCCGATACGTTCATACTAGATGCCACGGCCGCAAACAGAGCCAACCCGTGCGCAAGTGCTACCATCACCAATCTTGCAGGCGTTGTATTCGTTTCGTTGAACATCTTGTCTGCAACAAGTCAAGCAAAAGCATTAACCAAGAGCTACTAGCCTACTACTCGTATATAAAAGAAATTAAGTATTACAAGGCGGACAGTACCGATAGCAAGAATCGAGCCTTCACCGGCAAAGACGAAGATGATAGTGGCCAGGAATTCAGCCAAGGTGGCTCTCATGGAGTCGGGATGAGTGGCCTCGTCAGCCCTCCCAACTTCGTATCTACGAGTTGGCATCTTTGCCTTCCTTTACCCCACACCTTCACAGCTTACAACGAACAAGCTGCAGCTATATGTATTTATTGAGAACACTGGTGTAATTGCAGAGCGGCTTCAGCTGAGAAAAATAACAAGAAATGAAGACAAAAGCAGAGGAAGCAAATATGAGAAGAGTGGGGATGGGAAAATCAGTTTGTGCATGGATGAGAAGTGGAAGTTGATTTGCTTTAAATTAGACAGAGGAAATTTGGAATGACGTGGGACACTTGGGAGATGTTAACCCATAAGCCTTGACACGTACATATCTATGTGTAGGCTTCCCATTCTTCTCCCATTTTCTTCTCATCACTTCAAATCCTGTACTCCCTTATCCTTTCTCCTAACATATACGTTTAGCTTCTATTTTTAAAAACAATTTTTGATGTAAAATTAAGTGTTTAAACTATATTATAAATTAATAATTTAATATAAAAATAAATGTATAAACTATATTTCGAAAAAAGTTTTAGTGCCTAAATAATTTTTCGTTTCTCTGTTGTTATTTTAGGTGTCGGGTGTTAACCACTGTTAAAAATCCCCGTTAAGTGACACGTGTCATGTTTTAGTAATTTTAAAAAAAATATTTAAAATAAAAAATATTTTTTAGAAGAAAAAACTAAAAAAATTCATTTTATTAAAAAATTAAAACTTTTAAAACCCTAATTTTAATCCTTTTACCACCTCCGACCACTACCAACACCGTCAATCGGCCAAACACCCAACGACGTGTGACTGACAAACCACCCACGACGAAAACCACCATACTTTCAAAATTCGACCGACCACCATGTAACACCCTCAGACAGATGCGGGTGACTTGATCCTATCCGATGTGTCACATTATGGCCACCGGAGCGACCCACAATAAAAATTTGGGGAAAATTAAAATCTTTATTAACACATATAAAATCATAAAATAATTTATAAATAAATACAAGTTTCAGACTTGATATATGAAAAAAAATCAAACGTGGCCTACATGCCCCTAATTACACTTATATTGTACACTGCAAGCAAAACCGAATGAAACTCCCACACTGAAGTTGATAGTTGAACTGAATTAATTCTTTTAACCTGAAACTGAGAGTAAAAGAGTGAGCTTTGAGAAGCTCAGTAATACAGAACTAAGCTTTGTGAAGCTCAATTATACATAACTACCAAGTGATGCTGAATGACATGCATATGATAGGTAAACATAAAATTTCCTTATCTATTCAGGGGTCTACAGGTTTTTGGGATGAGTTGTGGTTTCACTGATATTTCTTCGAGTAAAAAACATGAAGGTTTCAGTTCATAGTAAACATTCAGAGGACCAAGTTTTCAAGAGATCGAAATAGGGTGTCTAGTATGCTCCAACAAAATAGAGTAACATATATAAATCCTTTAAAAATGTTTGTAGTTTAAAACATATTTTAAAAACCATAGTAATACCCTCCAACCGAACATCGTTATGCAATTCTCCATAACTGCATCCATAAGGACTTACCTTAAGCACACAACAGAGGAGCCACCCTAAGGGGGTAACTTGGGGCTTATGTGCCTACTCAAGGGTTTCCTTAGGTCCATAAGGATTTACCAGCTTGATAAGAGCTGAACCTCCATACTCCAGAATCCTACTCATACAGTATCCAGTATAAATTAGACTTAACAGTAAACTATAATATCAGGATCATGATCTAGTAAAATCTCGTAAGAGTGACAATGAAATAAACCACATAACTGCCTCCACTCGTACACCATATGTAGTCCGAGAATTAATATAAGGGAGTGCCTTGGGGCCTAAGAGCCTACCCAAGAAAGTTTCTCGGGACCTCGAAGCCTACCCAAATGTCACCTTAGGTATGTAAGGATTTACCATTCTGATCAGAGCTGAACCTCCATACTCCAACCTACCTAGATAATGTTCCAAATAAAACAGTTCAAGTAGTAACCAGTAGATTCCATGATCAATAAATCAAGAACAATCATATTTTTCACTGAAAACAAGAAACCAGATAACACATTTCAAGTAACTATAGTTCATAAACCAGTAGATTCTATGATCCATAAATCAAGAACTATTATATTTTCCAGTGAAAACAGGTAACCAGAGAACATATATATCATGTAGCCATAATTCATAAGTCGGTAAATCAGTAAATCAGTGATCTCGGAAAATCACATTTTAAAATAGGTAAAACATTTACATGTCACATAAAGAACACACTAGAGGATCCAGATATTCTTCAAAGCTACTTGGTAATCAGGAAGGTATTCATAATCTTGTGCATAATAGTTACTTAAGATTTCAAGTATTACTGGAGTGATTCCATTATTGAAACAAATAGGGGTATTTCAGACATTTTGGTTCTTGGATAATTCTCAGTAATTTAACTCAATAAGGATAGAGCAATGATTTATGGTATTCAAGATTATATATTGAATTATTAGGATTTCAGTTCTGATTGATCTACAATTCCCAATATTGTGATACTTGTCAAGCATTTGGACTGTGATACTTCACTATTACTCACTTCTTATTACTGACTGCACCAGCTGATCTGATCAATATTAAAATCATCCTTGATCAATTCTTAAGGATATGAATAGGTATTTGATTGGTATTTATTTCATTTTCGCGTTGTAATAGTATCCAAAATGTATGACGACTTGAGTCGTGCTCCAAAACCTTTAGAGGCAGTACAATCATTTAAGTTCATCGGTGTTCCCATAGTTTATCCATAATTCTTTTTACACTTTAAAGGTATTATCGTCATTCCATTCACTTCTGTCAGTGGCATTACTTCTGATAAATTAAGCTTCAAGGTATTCTAGTTCCTTTAGAGTTTGGGGTATTTTGATCATTTGAACATTAGAGGTTATTTTAGTTATTTCATAGCTCAATGATATTTCGGTAATTATAATCAATCCAAATATATGTACCTTTTTCTAGTAATTTGGTCAGATATATCTATTCAGCGTTATTTTTTCTCTTAGGGGTAGTCATGGTCTTTTTGCAATGCAAGGACATTTTAGTTAACTTACAATTCAAGGTTATTCCATTCCTTTCCTTCCGTTCAATCTTTCCATTAAATTCAAAATTTCTGACTAATTCAAACAAAAATAGTACTTTCAATATTTGTCTGTAGGTGCTTGCTGATAATCAACAATTATAGGTCTTCTACCTATTTTAATGTTAGGATCTGATTATTAGTGACTATTCGAGCAGATCATGAATTTAACAATTGAAATAGTGATTTATCGAATTAAAATACAAATTCTCAAGGTATTTTCACTCTTAGTTCAGTTCGGGCCATTTTTACCCTATAAGGGTAATTTTGTAATTTTATAATCAGGTGATTCCGATATTAAATCTTTTAACGAAAATAATTAGAATTTAATAATTATGAGGTCATTGGCTCTTTATATTAATCATTGTACTTGAAATCATTTCTTACTAGTCTTTCAATTCATTTATGTAATTCAATCGAGTCTTAACCAATTTATCACTTAAATTGTATTCGGTTCGAGTCCATCCATAATCAAACATGCATAATAGACCAATCATATACATCTATGCATTTATCCATTATTAATATGTTCTATAAAGCATGAAAAGAGGTAGTAAAGTGTTAACTAGATTCTCATACTCCACCGATCAAACATTTAAACTTCATTCGATCACTCTCAAACTTGAATTCAACATCCAATAATTCCTCGGATATATAGAAAATGAATTTACTTCATAAACTGAACTTAATCGCAAAACCAAATTTGATTAAGAAGATAAATCACTGAAAAATGGCTTACCAAGTGCGATTTTGACAAAACAGACATCAGATTCAGACTCAAGACGTCAATAACATAAAATAAGATTTTTTTAAAAAATCTTGACTTTTTTGTTAAAGTCAACGATCAACGGTCAACCTGTCAAAGTCAACGGTAAGATCGGTCAATGATCAACGATTCAGGTCAAAGTCAACGGGTTAGGTCGAGTTGACTCAGTTCGGGTCGGTTTGACTCAGTTCGAGTTAAATAGACCTGGTTTAGACTAGGTTAGTCGGTTCAGGCCGGTCCAGACTGACTGGACCGGTTCTAGAAGGTTTTCAGGACGAGCAGAAGAAGCCCACACGCTCGCAGAGGCACGTGGCGGTAGCGACGGGCTCGGGGTTATCGACCGATTCTTTCAGGAGCATCTACACATCATTTGCAGTAAAAACTTTCACCACAATAACCATAAACCATACCAAATAATCAAAAATAGAACTAAATTACTCAACGATGGTCGGCCGAGGAAATGAAAATGATGCGAAAACCCTTGAGCTGAGTTTTGGGTGCACAAAGGATGGGAGTCTGATGGTGTAGACGGTGAGGTGAGGTGACGTCTTGATCGATGATAATCGAGTGGAAAATGAGCGATTGAGGTCTTGGAAACTGCAAAGCTTTGATGGTCCCCACACGTCAATCAATTGCCAAATCTAGAGCAACAAGGGAGGGGTTTTGGTTAGGATGAGGTGTCGGTTTGGATGGAGGTGGTGGTGACCTACACTGCCGACCGGAGCAAGACAGATCAGAGGAGAGAGGGTTATGGGCTAGGGATTTTAGGGTTGGGAAAAATTGGGGATTTTTGGGTTGTCTTGCTCAATCGGGGGTTTACTTTCCACTGTCAAGAAAAACTAGAAAAATTCAAGGTTAAGTCCCTAAACTTCCCAGAGTTTTAAAATCAAGCTAAAAATTTCTAGAACTTATAATTTAGTCCTTGAAATTTACTTAAATTCATAAAATCCAGCCATTAAATTGGGGTGTGCCAATTCTCCTCCCTTTAAAAGAATTTTTTCCTCGAAATTCACCATGTTGAACTATATTATTCACCATGTTGAACTATGTTTTGATATAACAATTTATGGAAAAATGTTTTTGGACTTGAATTGAATTTATTCAAAGTTTTCAAAAATAATTCAATGTCATTTTAATTTGGAATTGAACACAAAATTTTATGAATAATACTGTATTGTATGAATAGTATCGATACTGTGTGAACAGTAGTATCGATACCATGAACAATACCGATGCTAAAAATTCCAGA